ATTGTACTATGTAATATTGAAAATTTACTTGTAACTTTTTATTAAAAAAAAAACATGAAAGATATCCTAGATTTAATAAACATTTCATCCGATACCTTGCAACATCGATGCTTTTGATTTGATATTTTTATAAGTACGATGCTTTTCTTTTGATGCTTCTTATGAGTACATGATCGATACTTTGCATTCGATATCGTGTCCCTACTTGTATCGTTATTTTTATATCAATCACCCTCACCCTTGTTGGGGCGTATTTCAAATACCTGAGACTTTTGTTTTAGGAGATGCAAATTCATGTTATAATCGTGATCTGAAAGTTGCATGAAGATAGTCCATCCACAAGAAAAGGTATTAAGCAATTAAGTTGCCGTAGAAGGACCACACTGCGTGCTTCCGTATGCTTTGGTGTGTGAGCGCGTGTGTGCAATTGTAAAAATTACTGAAATATCAGTAGCTCTAAGGGCTCAGGGGATCTCGTGGTGGAGCAGTCTCGACTGGACTTTTCTTACTTGTTTTATTATGATACTTTTGGTTTATGAATTTGAATATTTTACATATGCAAAATTCTGATTCAAGTATTTAATTTCCAGTATCTACAACATGAATTTCATATATTTTATATATCACGGTATAAAAAGCTCCAATAAAAATGGTAATGTCCCATTCGACAGAAAAAATATTCTTTCATTTCAAGGTTTTTTTTTTACTTTTTTATAATTTTTAGAATTCCAGTACTGCAGTCACAGATTCAGAAAAAAGTCATGTATTGAGTGACAAAAACTTAGTAAATACATATATAAATGTTTGATATCGTAGTGTGGTAAAGCAGACTATTTAATACTAAAATGAAAACATAAAATTCCTTACAGTAACTATATTTTAGCATTCACAATGAAAGATTTGTTAATTATTTTAATAAAAAAAAAAGAAACATTTTTTTCTTTATGCTTTTAATTAAAGTCATACAAACCATTTGCCACACTATTAAAGGGCTGAGTCTCCATTAGGGCTCTGCTGCAGCCATTCCTGGCAGTCATTAAGGCAACTCATCCATCGAATACCACTTGATATATGAATATAAGACCGGGTATATATGTATATATACACATTCCCATAAATAAACGAACATCTGATATCAATTTGTATTTGAGCGCTCATTAGGGATTATACATATACATCAACCCCATTATTGGAGGCTTCTGACTTACAGTCATCAAAAGCGACCGAATAGTGTGGTATAATTATGGGTAGACTAGAAAATGAGTAGTCCGTGGCAGCGATTAGTGGAGCTGGACTGAGTTGGAGCTGGGGCTGTCGGAAGTCGTCGTCTCCTCTGACAGGCAGTGACACATTATGAAGGTTAGAAACCTACTTATTCCGAACATAATGGAGAGTCCACGTGCTGAATATTACTCACTTCAAGAGGAGGGCCAGTTGCGAATGCCTGAATCCACTTGGCTGATCAAAAATACAAACGAAGTATATGGAGTCGTATGTAGTCCATATATGCCATGACATAAACACTGTGCTCCGTTCTCTGTTTTTACTTCCTGCAGGAAAGGTAGACTTTCATATCTCGCCTAGCTGTTAGTTGTTCAGATTTTAACTTTGGCTTTTCTTATAGCTTTTCTTCGCCAGAAACTTGGCTCATTTTGACGCCAGTTTTTGTTGAGTGGAGTGGAGAGAATTTTCTCTGTTGTCGCTTGCCATGTGTTTTTATTGCATTAATTTTTATGGTCGTTTGGTCTCGTTGTTGTTGCTGCGGCTGTTCTTTATGTTGCCGCTATTATTGTTGTTGTTGTTGTTGCTGTTACTGCTGATGTTGCTTCTGCTTTTGTTTTACTTTGCGTATGCCCCAAAGTAATAAAGTGAATTGGATTTCTCAAATAATTTCCATTTTAAATCCAGTCAGAAAATCCGCACAAGCTATGCCTCAGCCTCTGCCTCAACCTCAGCCTCTGCTGATCAGTCTCACTTTGCAGCCATAGCCCACGCAGCGAGTTGTTGTTGCTGTGCTGCCAAAAGTGGCTTCATTTTCTCGCATAAAATTGTTTCGCAAAGTTTGTCGAGATTTGTTTGGCGACAGCATTTGCAATTGTTTTTGTTTCCCGAGTTCTTTCAGTTGCCATTGTTGTTATTGTCGCTGTCGCGCTTTGGTTTTTTGGCGTCGAGTACTATTTGCATTTGTGTCCAGCACGGCCGCTGTACGTCAGTGTGAACGAGGTCTCAAGATTTAATTGAAATTTAGTGTAAACAAAATGACAGCCTGTCGATTATCCCTAGCAGCACCGACATACCTCGCCTCAGTACGTCTAAGTCGATATTTCCGCGAAAGCCTTTCGCGCGCAAATCCTGTCAACTTGGCCTGGCTGTCAATTTGCCAAGCGCCTTTTGTATGTCAAAACTTGATACGGAACACGGCAAACATTTCACACATGTCACTGAGCCAGTGAAGTTGTTGGCTGCCGTGCGCCCTATCAAGGATGTGCCCAGCCACGCCTACTGCAATAAGAGCGCGGCTGTCAAAAAAGCACCAACAACGTTGAGCGCCCACACACGCACGCACACACACACATAGACGAACAACACACTCGCCAAGTTGAAAAGTAAACTTCAATTGTTTACTTATTTGCCTTGCGCATATGGAAATGAAATGGCAAATAAGCGAATGGAAACGAATGAAAAAATTACGTTGACTTTTCCAAATGTACATAAAGGACACATAAACACGCATATAAACAAGACTCAATACACAAGAGCATAGGGTCGAAAGGCAACACGCCGGCGGCAAAGGCGGTAAAGGGGGAGAAATAAAATAAAATAACAGCAAACTGATTTCGCATGACCCCTTCGCTGCAATCCGTCTCTGTCAGAGGGCAATCTTAATGTCAAGGCAGGCAGCTGTTGCCTGTGTGGCTGCGATTCGCCGTTCCCCCGCACTTACCCAAGGCCAAGTATCCCATCCGTCAGGTCGGCAATGATCAGAATTGTTTATATTGCCTTCACAGTGGAGCTGACATAATAAAACTTAAAGTTGCAGGAGCCGAAGCAGAAGCTCCTCTTTAGTGCAATGGTTCAATTGTTTTTCGCTCTTCCCTTGCTTCATTTTAATTGTAAAGCATATTTAAATCTGCAAAGCCAATTGTCACTGTGTACACCCCATTTGACCAATGAATCGCTTTTGTTGCATTAGTGTTTGTGCTTTGTTTGCTTAATTTTCCATTTCATTTTTTGTTTTTTCGCCAACATTTTTTATGTCTGTGGGTGGCTGCTTTTTCAATTTCTCTGTGTATTTCTTTATTTTGCTTATCAAAAAGCGTCGCATTGAAATAAACACAAAGACGATATAGCAGAGTAGCTAGAAAAAAGGAGAATAAAGGGGCATGAACAAATTGTTTACGGATGTGTTTGCGTCCTTCGTCTAATCTTTGTTGTTGGCTCTGCCGTTGCTGCCATTGCAGAAAGGAAGCAAATGGAGGCGAAGGAGCAGCCCAAAAAAGAAAAAACGAATAACGAAAAGCGAAAAAGGATGTAACAAAAATTCATAACAAAGTACATTTCATGGCAATGCGAGCAACTCGTTCATCCTGTTCGGTTTCGTTCGGCTGCGTGTTCTGTCTCTCTGTGAATTTGTGTTTGTGGTTCTCTGTATGTGTGTGTGTGTGTTTCGGTTTTTTATTGTGTGTTTGGCCAGCAAAGGAAATTCACTTGACTTTTTGG